ATGAACGACGGGTTCCAATTCTGCTGTGACGGCCCACTCTTAAGGGGAAGGAAGCATTGAGACACGTTCAGTGCTCGTTGGTGGAAAGGAACGGCAGAAGTCAGAGGGTCCACAAACAAAAAGAAAGTTTTGACCCGTAAATTACACGCTTGGGATGGAAATGGGTATGGGAGTCCTTGAGCACAGGGCAATGGGGTTTGCGTAAAGGGAAAACAAATCAAAGAGGAAAAGGTGAATTAAAGGCAGGAAAAGAGAGGGAAAAAGAGAAGATTAAAGAGAGGAGAAAGAGAGAAAAAGAGATCACCAGCCCTGGTTCCAGCGTTCCTCTGCACCCGGCAGTGCGGGTTCGGTGCCGCTGACCTGGCCGTGTCCCCGCAGGTCCGGGCTCTGTCCTACGGCTGCCAGCTGGCGGGGGGAGCTCTGCCCGGSCCCGCGGGGCTGCCCGGGGCGCTCCTGGCCGCTTCCACCCAGCTCAGCGCCTGCCGCACCGCCCTGCGCCTGTTTGATGACCTGGCCATGCTCCGGCACAGCTGCAGTTACGGGCTGGGTCCCGAGGTGAGCGCGGCTCCGGGGATCCCCGCCAGCCCCCCCGGCCCCGCCGCGGCCGTGCCCCATGTGCCGCTCCCCGCAGGGCGAGGACGCGCTGGTGCGGGGGCTCTCGGTGCTCTGCAACGTGGCCAACCAGCTCTACTACCCCTGCGAGCACCTGGCGTGGGCGGCGGATGTCGGCATCGTCCGCGCCGGCTCCCAGAAGTGGTGGACGCGCAGCACGGCGCTGTGGGGCTGTGCCCTGCTCCTGGGCATCCTGCGGTACGGCCGGGATGGGCACGGGAGGGTCGGGAATGATCCCAGTGCCCCGACAGTGGGATGTAGCACAGGGCCCTCTGTCTGCAGGAGTTGCTCTCCTTTATTAAAGCAGTTAATGCAAGAGGAAAAAAGCCCTGCTGATGGGTGCTGTAGTAGAAATAACTCTCTTCTTTTCAGATCCCTGAGAATCTTGTTCCAGTTAAGAAGAAAACTGAGCCAGCACAAGTGGTATGATTCCTCTCCATGGCTATACAGCTAATCATGGAATTGCAGAATGGTTTGGGTTGGGAGGGGCCTTAAAGCCCACCCAGTGCCAYGGGCAGGGACAYCTCCCACTGTCCCAGGCTGCTCCCAGMCCCAATGTCCAGCCTGGCCTTGGRCACYGCCAGGGATCCAGGGGCAGCCACAGCTKCTCTGGGCACCCTGTGCCAGGGCCTCCCCACCCTCCCAGGGAACAATTCCTTCCCAATATCCCATCCATCCCTGCCCTCTGGCACTGGGAGCCATTCCCTGTGTCCTGTSCCTCCAKCCCTTGTCCAGAATCCCTCTCCATCCTTCCTGTAATTCACCCACATCTGTCAGTTCTCACTTGTACCCATCACAGTCAATGTGACATTCTGGTTTATCACTAATTTTACCTTTTCTTCCAACAGCACTTCTTCACCTCAGAGCCAGCAGAAGTTGAGAGCCCAGGTGAAGGCTGAAGTTCTGAGCATCCTCATGGACACAGCAGATCTCTCCAACGCAATCCACTGGCTGCCTCCAGGGTTTCTCTGGGCAGGAAAGTTCCCTCCATGGTTAGTAGGGCTGCTGGGAACCATCTCCTCCCTGATTGGAATCTACCAGGCATCAAGAGGAGGAAATTCTGAAGCTGCTTAAGCCATAACTGAGCTTCAGGAGCCCAGTTTTCACATGGTGAAAGTGCCTTTAGTGAGGTAGGGTGTATTTTAACTTTCCTGGGTYGATGATTGTCATTCCAAATATCCCATAATTGGGACTGGAATCAAGATGCCTGTTGCAGAGGGGATTGTTTGCAGCTGATAATTTTTATCATTCTTCATCAGGGAAATAATTCAGGTGAATTCCCTGAAAATCAAGAATCTCCTACAACTGGTAAAACTAAGGGGGAAAGAGTTGCTTCCATCCTTCCTTCCTCTGTCCCAAAAAGATAAATGCAACCTTCCAGTGTTTTCTGTCACTTAAAAGAGCACAAAGTCAGTGTGAATGGTCATGGCTGTCACAGAGAACTGGTAAGGCACAAATCCCGTGAGTTTATACTCTGGGCTCGGCGCTTGGTGCTGCATCTGAGCCAGGGCAGTGAGTCCTGGGAGCTCTCCAGGTGTTTTGGGAGAATTTTGATATTCAGCTCAGAGCTGATGGCCAGAGCTCAGCCAGGAGCGAGCAGGGATGTTGTTTGTGACAGCTCTGTTTCCTTCGAGGCGAGGGGGGAAGGAAATAGCAACTGGAAGCAGCATGAACCTTCCTAACCTGCCTTACTCCTTTAAGGAAAAATGTTAAAAGTTGAGACTTCCCACAGAGCTGAGGCTCCAGCTGTGCCTTTGTGGAGTGCCACCGGGTGGAGCTCTTCCACCAGGCTCCGGCAGCTGCCAACGGACCTTTTTTTTAATTAAAAAAAAAAAAAAAATCCGGAAATTTATAAATCACCTTTCAAAGGAGCAATCAAACCAATAAACCAATGCCGAGATGGGGTTTGCAGTTACAGTTCCGGGCGTTGCCAATAATAAACGGCACAAATGCTTCAAAGGTGGCCTTGGCCTTGAGTGATCATTCCTTCTGATAGCAGGGAAAAGTTCTTTATCGGGTTCTGGAAAGCTCCAAAGCATTAGTGCTGTGTGAGCTGCAGCTCCACATGTGTCACCAGCCTTCCTCCTGCCGAAATAATTCCCAGGCCCTGCCTGACTGCAGTGGAAATGCATCCTTTGCAAACAGTTCTGCTTAGTCTGCKTGTCCCTGCCCCCCAGCACGGCACATGCTGCGCTTCCAGCAGGTTTGACCTTGGATTTTTGTTGTTGTTTTTGGCCTGGACATGAGGAACCGCGTCCTGCCTGTGTTCAAAGAGCAGAGCAAGGCCTGGATAYTCTTTATCCTTTGCCCTGTCCTTGGTGTTTATCTGGACCTTCACCCTGCAGAGTGTCCCTGAGGATGCCTTCCTGGCTGTGCTGGGAATTTGCTGCCAGACTGACCGATTTTGGTGCAACTCTGACTGTAGGCTGGGCTTATCTGGAGGAGACTTGGTTTTTCTCTACTTTTCTCAGTCCTGTGCCTGAACAAGGGGGAGCACCCAGGTCCTGSTTAGAGGTAGCTCTGGCTGTTGCCTGGTTCTGTCACCCACTCTGATGGCTCCTGTAGTTAGGGGTTTTTAACAATAAATCAGGTTTTTTTTTGTATTCTTAACCCTGTTAAATCACTCCTTCAGGACTCATTGGACTTAGCACAGGACAAGGTGTAGCTCTACCAATTTAAAAAACAAAACAAAAAACAAAAACAAAACAAAAAGCCCCGTACAACCTGAGGCCAAATTAGTAAATCTCTAAACCATGTGTTTAACGTAGAGGACACTGTAAAACTGCTCTAAGTGCACTTGCTTCATCAGTTCCTCAACAAGTGACTTTAAATTGCAGCTGGTGAAGCTGAAATGCACAGAGATAAATCAAAATGAGGTAATTCAAAATTTATGGAATTTATTTCTTTTTTTCTTGAGGTGGTTTTGATCCCTGCTGATACACAGTGTTTAAACACCTGTGGTGGCTGCTGCTGCCTCTCCAGGGCAGCACTCGCTGTTTTATAGCACAAGACGTTCAGACAGACCCAGTCCCCTAAAAYTTGGTGGTTTTTTTCCTCTTTTCAGATGTGGCCATTAACCCAACTCAGCTCTTGTTCCTGAGAGGGCGACAGTGCCTTTGCTCGGCAAGGAAAGCACCCCGGTTTTGGTGGTGCAGATGATGGGCTGGACTCCAAATTTCTGAGGTGGGCTCCAAGCAGGAAAACATTTGCTGAGCAGGGCTGGTTTGTTGGGCCGCGACCTGCCTTTGTCAGCAGGCCGGGATCCAAAGGCCGCGGGCAGGCGCTGATCCCAGCCCGCCTGCCCCGTTTTTTATGGCYCTTTATGGCGGGGTGGCTCCGTCCGCAAAGCTCCGTCGCACTCGGGAGCCTCAGATCTGCCGTCCCGGGCTCATGGCGGGGCTCCCCGCGGCCCGGGCCGTGTTGCGGTGCCGTGCTGCGGTGCTCGGATCTGGGGACACCGGGGGACACCGGGGGACACCCGCACACGTGGGGAGGGGACACGGCCACGCTGCCCCCGGGCAGGGCGGGRCAACGCGCGGCGCATGCGCACGGCSGGCCCCGCCTCCCATTCACAAAGAGCGAGAGCCGGGAGCCGCGGGCGCTGATTGGCTGCGGGSCGGGAGGGGGCGGGGCCGGCACGGGGCGGCCACGCGGCGGCGGCGGGGCGGCGGCAGAGCCGGAGCGGAGCGGGGACCGTGCGGGAACGGCCACGGAACCGGGGCTGGGATCGGCTACGGAACCGGGTACGGGATAGCGGGGCAGGTGCGGGACTGCGGGGACGGGTGCGGGATTGCGGGGGCAGATGTAGGACAACTGGACCGCGTGTGGGACAACTGGACCGCGTGTGGGATAACTGGACCGCGTGTGGGACAACGGGACCGGGTGCGGGGTCCATCAGGCGCGGGACCGCGGGGCCGGGTGTAGAATCGCTGAGCCAGGCGCAGGATAGCGGRACCGGGCAGGAGACCGCAGGTCCGGGTGCGGGACCTCTAAGCCAGKTGGGAAACCGCGGAGCCGGCTGCGGGACAGCGGAGTCCGGTCGGGGACCGATGGCTGGGTGCGGGACCGCGTGCGCGACTCCTGAGCCGGCTGCGGGACCGCGGGGCGGGCCGGCGCGGGCATCACCGGGAGCGCACATCACCCCCTCCCCGGTTCTACCTGGGACACGGCGGAGCCGTGCGCTGCCCCGGTGTCTGGTCCGGGAGCTCCCGGTGCCCCTTTTCGGTCAGTGCCCCTGGGCTGCGGGTCGCCCCCGCCGCGCTCCCGTTACCGGCCGGTACCGCGCTCCCGCCGCCGGCTCCTCTCCGCCGCAGTCCCGGCCGTGCCGGGCCCGGGACCGCGCTGCCCGTGCTGACTCGCCGGTTTTGCCTCGCAGAGCGGCCTCAGCACTATGTCCGTCAGCAGCCACGAGAACCGGAAATCCCGCTCGAGCTCCGGCTCCATGAACATCCACCTCTTCCACAAACCGGGCCACGCCGACAGCCTCCTCACCCAACTGAACCTGCTCCGCCAGCAGAACCTCTTCACCGACGTGGTGCTGCGGGCTGGGAACCAGAGCTTCCCGTGCCACCGCGCCGTCCTGGCCGCCTGCAGCCGCTACTTCAATGCCATGTTCAGCGGGGGCCTGAAAGAGAGCAGAGATACCGAAGTCAACTTCCAYGACTCCCTGCACCCCGAGGTGCTGGAGCTGCTGCTGGACTACGCCTACTCAGCCCGRGTGCTGATCAACGAGGAGAACGCGGAGTCCCTGCTGGAGGCYGGGGACATGCTGCAGTTCCAGGATATCCGGGATGCTTCGGCTGACTTTCTGGAGAAGAATCTGTACCCCGGGAATTGCCTGAACATGCTGCTGCTGTCCGATGCCCACTGCTGCGARCGGCTGCTGGAGCTGTCCTGGAGGATGGCGTTGGCCAACTTCACCTCGCTCTGCAAGACCGAAGATTTTCTTCGACTGCCCAAAGACAAGCTGCTGGACCTGGTGGAGAGYGAGGAGCTGGAGGTGGAGGATGAGACGCTGGTCTACGAAGCTGTTATGGGCTGGATCCGCTATGATTTGCCCCGGCGCCACGAAGTTCTGCCCGAGCTGCTGCGCTCCGTGCGCCTGGCCCTGCTGCCTGAGCCCTACCTGCGGAAGCAGGTGGCCTGCGAGAAGCTGGTGACCAGCCACAAGCTGGGGGAGGAGATCGTGGCCGATGCCGTGCGATGCAAAATGAAGATCCTGCAGAACGACGGSCTGGTGACGGGGTGCTGTGCCCGGCCCCGCAAGGTCAGCCAGGCCCTGCTGCTGCTCGGGGGCCAGACCTTCATGTGCGACAAGATTTACATGCTGGACCATAAAACCAGCGAGATCATCCCTCGTGCCGACATCCCCAGCCCCCGCAAGGAGTGCAGTGCCTGCGCCATCGGCTGCAAGGTCTACATCACGGGTGGCAAGGGCTCCGAGAATGGTGCTTCCAAGGATGTCTGGGTCTACGACACGCTCCACGACGAGTGGGCCAAAGCTGCTCCCATGCTGGTGGCACGGTTTGGCCACGGCTCCGCCGAGCTGGACCACTGCCTGTACGTGGTGGGGGGTCACACGGCCATGAGCGGGGCCTTCCCGGCCTCTCCCTCTGTGTCCCTCAAGCAAGTGGAGCACTACGACCCTCAGCTGGACAAGTGGACCCTGGTGGCTCCGCTCCGGGAAGGTGTCAGCAACGCCGCCGTGGTGGGAGCCAAGATGAAGCTGTTTGTTTTTGGGGGCACCAGTGCCAACCAGAACAAGCTGCCCAAGGTGCAGTGCTTCGAYCCCTGCCAGAACCGCTGGACGGTGCCCGCCAGCTGCCCCCAGCCCTGGCGCTACACGGCYGCYGCCGTGGTGGGCAGCCACRTCATCGTCATCGGTGGGGACACCGAGTTCTCCGCCAGCTCCGCTTACCGCTTCCACAGCGACACCTTCCAGTGGTCCAAGTTCGGGGATGTCACCGCCAAGTGCATCAGCTGCCGYGCTGTCACCTCAGGGAACAGGCTCTACGTGGTGGGGGGCTACTGCGGGGCTCAGCGCTGCAAAACCCTGGACTGCTACGACCCCTCATCTGACACCTGGAGCAGCGTCACCACGGTGCCTTATTCCCTCATCCCCACCGCCTTCGTCAGCACCTGGAAGTACCTGTCAGCCTGAGCGTGGCGAAGGATCTGGAAGGTAAATAGYTGTGGGTCAACCCTGAGCTCCAGGTTAAACCTCGAGGGGCAAATGCACATGGCTCTGGGCTAGAGCTGTCTTAGAGCACAGCCCTGTGTGAACATCACTCCAGAACTTCCAGGCTGGTAGTTTGGGATCTAAAACCCTGCAGGAGAGGGAAAGTGTCTTTAGGTGCTGAAACACTGCAGGGAGAAGATTTGTATAAATAACGAGACTCTTAACCTGGCATCTTGGCCTGWGCAAAGATTTTGGGGAATGCTGTGTGTGAGGATTGGATGTCATCCCTGGGTCAGGAAGCTGGAGGAGCCGATGTTTTTGCAGGCAGGCTGTCTGCAGGAGCTGGGACAGACCCCGTGGTGCCACCGGGTCCGGCTGCTGCTTTTAGCTCAGCCTCCTCMTCCTCCTCCTGGTGCCACACTTAATCTGCCAGTGGCACCCAAATGTCTTGTGGGACGCCAGAGCTGTGAGCTGGTGCCAGAACAAGATTATAGCTGGGATTTAGTCCCAGAATGGTGGGTAATTGCATTTATAAGACAAGCCTTGTCTATGTATAAACACAGGGTTTCTCTGCTTCTAATTATTCCCTGGTGTCCCTTTCATGCCACTGYTTTCCTGCTACACAGAGATTGACTTTCAACATTTGCAACTGGAATTAAACCTTTCTAAAGGCTTTTGGCAGAAACGATGCCAGTAAATCACAGACTGTGCAGGGTTCTTCTTTTCTCCTTGTGAGAGTTGTACTATCTAAATAAAATTATTTACTGTAATAAAATATCCAGTGATACCTTTAGRAAATTCCTGGCTGTGGGGGGGATGTGTTGTAGCAGCTTTTTTTGGGATTTGAGGCCTGTGGGGTTGCTGTGTGCTGGTCTCACWATTCTCTGCTCTGCCCCACAGGCTTCTCACCTGATTTTGCCAGTGCCTCCGTTGACTGAAGATGCAGATGAGCACACAGAGGAGCAGGACACCTCCTCCCAGCTGGCATATCTGTGAGCTGGGTGCCAGCATGGATCCCATCAGCACCAGCAGGGCTCAAGGCAACACGGTTTTGGCTTTGAATGGCTTCTGCAAACCCATCCCCTTGGTCAGGCCAGGGAGGGGACAAGCACAGAGGGACCTCCTTGGGCTGACAGCTTGTGCTGTCCCTTGAGACAGCAAAAGGTTTTCAAGTGTTCTCCTAACTTGTGTGATCTCAGAGCAGGAACCAGAAGGATTATTTTGCTTTTGGTGATACTAGAAAGGACAAAGGACACTCCTGACCAGCTGCAGGCTCTGGACTGTGCTGCTGGACTCGCAGCACCCAGGCAGGTGCCTGGAATGTCAGAACATGTGACAGTACTTTGCCCACGGGCTGGTTCTGTACATTTAGGGTTTTTTTATACATCAGTTTTGTGTGTTTATTACTCAGCCTGGAGCTGCTTTAATAAATCTGATTAAAATCCACTGTGTCCCTGCTCTGTGTGCTTAAGGTGCAGGTATTCCCAGCCCACACTTGAGACCATATTTAGTAAAATAATGAGGAGCATTCCCTGGTAGAGTCCAAATCAAGGACTCAAGTCCTTCTTTATCTCTGTAACATTGAAGTGAGTAAAGCTCAGGTTTCACACAGCCTTCTAGCTTTGAAAAAGACACAAATCTGTTCAAAACTTCAAAGATTAAGGAATTCTTTGCTCTTACCTGTCCATCCTCCACGGAGCTGGGGTTTCTCACTATCCCAAAGAATGCCCCTTCTGTCCCCAAGGCTGTGTGCTCCAGGTAAGGTGAGGCAGTGCCTGGGAAACAGAAGCTCTGTTAATGTAGGGAGGTGAGACAGGAACCAGCAGAGTCAGAGGAAACAGRTACGGAAGGTACAACCGACTGTCTCACCACAAAAGCATGGTTTGGGTGTGATCCATTATTTCAGGATTAAATAAATCAATGTCACAACTCTTCCGAGCTGCTTGCACAGGCAAGAGCTGGCAGGATGGGAAGGCAAGGAGCAGCCCTGYTGCTGGGGGCTGCAGCAGATGCACCAGCTCCATTCCCACCTTGTTTTCYGACGCCTTTGCCATTTTCAGCCCCAGGCTGGGTTTTTTCTTGTGCATCCTTGCTGTGCCTTCTCTCCATTGCTGGCTGAGCTCAACGGGACTTGTCAGGCTGCAGAGAGGAGCCCACAGCCTTCCTGGAGCACATAGGCAGAAGGGAGACAGACTCATTTTGATGGGAAAAGGCTGTTAAGATCATGGGATCCAGCATCTCCCAGCCTGGCTGTGCCTCACGAGCGGGGGAATGGGACCAGCAGCCGTCTAGAAGTGTCTCCAGCCCTGTTACCCAGCCTGCTTCACCTTTGTTACATCTCCAGCTCCTCCTGAGGGCTGGACAGAGTCCGACTGTGCTCAGGGACTCAGAGGAGCGGAGGTTTCATTCATGGCCCTTTGAGCAGCAGCAGCTGTTTTGTTTATGCTGCCAAGCAATAAACGCTGGCTCCCYGCCACATCCGCCTCCCGCTCCAGGGATGGAGCGGCTTCCAGCAGCACGGATCCGTCTGCCTGGGCCTTATCTGAGCCAGGCTGGGCTGTTCTCAGCTGGGGAGTGAGCCCCAGCTCTGCTGCTGCTGCTGCTGCTGCAGCCTTTGCACGGGCTGGGCATTGTTGCCTACTTTCAATCCAGCCACCTCTCAGGGAGAACCTGCACTCCAAGCACACCTGGGCTGGGTTCTCCATGGTGGCTCCCTGCTGCTGGCAACAAAGCCAGCAACAAAGCCAGCAACAAAGCCAGCAACAAAGCCAGCCCGGGCTGCATCGCTTCATCCTCCCTTACCTGGCACAGAGCCCCGTGCTGTCCCTCCTGCTCCACCTCCTCCTGGCAGGAACCAGCTCCCAGCTCCCTGTGTACCCTGGGGAAAACTAAGGCAGCTTCACTGGTGCGTGCCTAAATCGTCCCAACAGACCTGTTTTCCCAGTTGGACATTTCCATGCATGGATCCACTTGCTGCTTCAGTGCCAGGGCCACAAGGTTCAGCCAATTGAGSTGGAGGTGAATTTGGTTGCTGGGGTAGAAATGCTCATGAATGAATAAAACGGATTTAGAATCTCAGCATAGCTTAAATCTAGGCCTCTTCAGAGCCCTGCTTTATGTCTGCACTTCCAGCTGCAGGAGTAAACACCTGAGTCCACAATCACATCTGGAAGAGCCAGCACATGTGGGCATCACTGGGCTCAAAGCCAAAACAATCCAAGGGTGACATCGCTGTCCCATGGGATGCTTCTTACACAAAGCCTGGAAGCCACCACAGCCAGAGAAATATGGGATCAGACTGATCCACCTCTCTCCTGGCCAAAGACAGACAGCGTTGATTTTAAGGGAACTGCTGCTCAGGTTCATAGGTGTCTCCTGCTCAGCAGCTCCTGCTGCCAGAGCACCAAGACAAYATGAGGCCTTTCTCCCATCCAAGCAAAGCAGTGGCTGAGAAATACCCTTTCCCAGTTAAAATGGAATATGGATCATTCAAATGATYACACCCACTACACATCTAGCAAGGAACTCTTAAAATGAGAATTCATAGCAGCTAGGAAAAACTAAGYTTTAACTACACACTGTGGTTTTGTTCATGACTTCCAGTGCTCTAGAAGGCAAAAGGGATATTGCACACTTGAAATTCCCTGGCAGATCTGCATGCCACATGCAGTCATCTGGGATTGCTTCAGGTCTAGCAAGACACTGTGCTCCATGCAGTGAAAYGACATCAGCTACTGCTCTGACACGGGAGGCGCAGACCTGCATTGTGGTGTCAGCGAGCAGTTTTCATACTCCTGTGCACAGGGAATCACAGATGGTTTGGGTTGGGAAGATCTTAAAGTTTACTCCGTCAGACCCCCTGCCATGGGCAGTGACACCTTCCACTATCCCAGGGTGTTCCAAGCCCCATCCAGCCTGGCCTTGGACACTTCCAGGGATCCAGGGGCAGCCACAGCTGCTCTGGGAAACTTCAGGGCCTCAGCACCCTCACAGGGAAGGATTCCTTCCCACTGTCCCATCTAACCCTGCCCTCTGTCTGTGAAGACATTCCCTCTTGTCCTGTTCCCTCCAGGCCCTTGTGCAAAGTCAAGGAGCCCCAGAACAAGATCCTGCCCTGTCTGAGCCTCCAGTGCGTGTGGCAGTACTGTGTGTCCCCTGCTCCAGCATTGCCAGCTCCAGAAGGGTTTGGCTTTTATCCTCTGCCAGATCCCACGGGCCCAGAAACAGCAAACAATGAAGGACAAGCCCCATACCCCTCATCTGCTGAGCCTTGGGCTGGCCCCATTGCTGGGATGAGAAATTAAACCGGATTTGAGTCACAGGGCTGAGGAGAGGCAGCAAGCAGCACATTCCCACTGTCAGAGCACACCGTGGAGCCAATATCCTTTGTGCATGTTTGTCCTCCAGCATCTGGCTCGCAGATGTATCTCAGATGCACGTATGGGAACCATCAGCCTTGTCTCACCCACATGAAAGAGAGAGGTTTAGCATAAAGCTGGTCATTGCCGATGGCCTCGGCATGATTCATCCACAGAAAGAATGTGGTTTGGGTTTCGGGTTAATTAGCTACAGATTGGAGAGAGACAAGGCAAGGCGGAGCTGCTGGRATATTGAGAGCAAGGGAGCAGCTCTGAAGGCACCGCCAGCCGTGTCCTGAAGTCACAYCCTCGCCTGAGATCACACCCTCGGTGTCTCACAGAGTGACAGCGTTATCAGCGCCACTGCCAGGCAAAGTGTTTGCAATCCCCGAGGAATGTCTGCCCCGCTGTTGTGTCAAAAACCCAACACAGCAACACCTACACGCCTTTGAACACGGATGGCTGCGGCAGCACCCAACTTCTAACAGATGCAAATTCTGCCCAGGATTTTAACTTGCCTCTGCTCAGCTCTGGGCTGCTGCAGCTGGGCAGTTCCCAGTGGGAAACTGTGCTGCAGAGATCTCTCTTGGCCGTGTTAACACTGGATCTCCATGATCCAGGCTCTTCTTGTCTTTCTAGAAACAATTCCTACAGGTCTGACACATGAAAACTGCACGAGAGCACAGTGCAGCTCCTCTTASCTTCTCTCCTAGACTGTCCCTCTCTGCTGGCCCCCACAAACCCACTTTGATTCCATTTCTTGCTGCCAAAAATATTTAGAAATGGCCAGGCAGTTATTGGCCTTGCTGTGGTGACACAGACACGAGGTCTGGAAGCACAGAGGCAGTGACTGATCTCCAGCGGGCACTGTGACTCAGCTCCCAGGAGCTCCACACATGGAAGGAATAYTTTCCTGAAGCAAAAGCTTCTACACACACTTTGAGACGTCATTCCCTCACATGTCAGCCTGTTAGTTCCCATAAAGACCAAGTTCTAAACACTGGTCTGCTTAGAAGTCTTTGATTATTTATGAATGTGGAAAAGTAGAAAAAAAAAATTGTTTTTCCAGTGGAGTTGCAGTTTGTGTCGCAACCCAGATGTCACATGCACTTCAGAGGCTGACAAAYGTTGGCTTGTTTTACTGATTCCCACACACAAAGGCCCAGAGTCCCCCAAAGCTGCTTTGATAAACCCCAAAGGCAGTGAGAGGCAGAACACACTGCTGGCACTGCCACCAGTCCTGGCTCAGGCTTCTCCTCAGCYCTGGATTCTGATGATAAAACCCTCCCTCTTCCTTGAGAGCACCAATCCAAGGCCCAGTTCTCCCAGTGTCTCCCTGGTTTTGCATCTGTTCTCCTCTCTAGCAATGATTGGAGGTTCCAGCCCTCGGATTCACTCGCCAGCTGTGGCACCAGTGGGGATTTCACCAGGAAACTCAGCCTGCTGCAGAGCTGGGAAGAGCAGCCCCAGCCAGAGGCTATGGGATGGTGCTGGCTGGGAGGGCTGCCAAACTGGCACSAGCACTAGGGAGAAAGTTTCTATTTTTGTTATCCTTGTTCCAAGTGGGAACCGATACTGCCTGGGACAGAGCCAGGCATGTCTCAGGCTGGCACCATGCAAAGCACCTCCTCGCTAATGTAAGCAACTTAACCAAGTTCTCTCTCTCTCTCTCACCAGCACATTTCTGATGTTTGGAGCAGCTGATCTTTCCCTCAGGTGTTCACCTCACTGCCAAGGGCTGCAGCTATTTGCATTCTGCACTGAACAGCTCCTATGCTCTGTCCTCTCCTTTGGAAAACTGTCAGAGTTTCGTTCCTGTGGCACATTATTTCTGTCCAGGGTAGAAAATGAGAAGCATGTGAGAAGTGGCAGCTGCTTTGATCTTCATTCAAATAGAAAACAATAAACAATTACATAGATATAAAGGCAGACAGTTTTTTAAATGTTCTTTTTTTTATTGCTAGAAGTTGGTTTCAGTCCTATTGCAGCTCTGAAATCCTTCAGTGGAGAAACATTGCAATCATTGTAAAAATCATCATTTGGTGTGCTAAGATCAAGTTTACAATTAATCAAGAGTGCACAA